AGATAGATAGATAGATCTGAAGGGAAATTAGATAGATAGATAGATAGATAGATAGATAGATCTGAAGGGAAATTAGATAGATAGATCTGAAGGGAAATTAGATAGATAGATAGATAGATAGATCTGAAGGGAAATTAGATAGATAGATAGATAGATAGAATGATCTGAAGGGAAATTAGATAGATAGATCTGAAGGGAAATTAGATAGATAGATCTGAAGGGAAATTAGATAGATAGATAGATAGATAGATCTGAATAGAAAAGATAGATACTTAGATAGAGAGAGATAAAGACAGATCAACTTGGAAGTCTTAAGGAAAATAAAAACAAAAACGACACTTAGACTCAGAAAGGGAGACAGATGAAATATCTGGAACACATAAGGAAAGAGGACTTGGAAAAACTAACACTCATAGGACATATCGATAGCAAAGGGACAGGTGAAAGCAGTGAGCATCCTACCTGATAAATGGATGGCAGAACAAGTACTGGGAAACGGTGGTGAAAAAACAGGAATTCCTACTGTACCATGATCCTCCATGTCCTTAGTGGACATGGAACACAGAAGACAAGCTGTGTCGAACACACACCTACACTGGCATTCAGTCAATGAGGATCGGATTCTCTACAGTAGGCGCCCATATACAAGGTGACGGAGAAAAAATGGCGTGTGTATGTGTGAAACCATTGAGGTAAATGGCGTGTAAACTTCATGAATGAATTAATAACCTTGTAACCTAGTTTTGAGTACCACAGACTGTCCTTTTTTTTTAAAGAAAGAAAAAGAGAGAGAGAGCAACTTACCATCTGGTTAAGTCGTTTCCTGCTTAGTGTTAATATTTACTGTAGACATTCGACTATCTGTTTCTTGGGAGTCGGGTGGGGTTAAGTCAGTTTAGTTTAGACGTTTAGGACAAAGCGACCTTTTTTCTTCATGGGCTTAGAGTTAAATACGTAGATAGAAACAAAATTAGATAGATAGATTTGAAGGGAATTAGATAGATAGATAGATAGATAGATAGATAGATCTGAAGTGAATTAGATAGATAGATAGATAGATAGATAGATCTGAAGTGAATTAGATAGATAGATAGATAGATAGATAGATAGATAGATAGATCTGAAGTGAATTAGATAGATAGATAGATCTGAAGGGAATTAGATAGATCTGAAGTGAATTAGATAGATAGATAGATAGATCTGAAGGGAATTAGATAGATAAATAGATAGATAGATCTGAAGGGAATTAAATAGATAGATAGATCTAAAGTGAATTAGATAGATAGAAAGATAGATAGATCTAAAGTGAATTAGATAGATAGATCTGATGGGAATTAGATAGATAGATAGATCTGAAGGGAATTAAATAGATAGATAAATAGATAGATCTGAAGGGAATTAGATAGATAGATAGATCTGAAGGGAATTAAATAGATAGATAAATAGATAGATCTGAAGGGAATTAGATAGATAGATAGATAGATAGATAGATAGATCTAAAGTGAATTAGATAGATAGATAGATCTAAAGTGAATTAGATAGATAGATCTGAAGGGAATTAGATAGATAGATAGATAGATAGATAGATAGATCTGAAGGGAATTAGATAGAGAGATAGATAGATAGATAGATACCTGAACGGAATCTGATAGATAGATCTGAATGGAGTTGGATATATAAATGGATATATAGATCTGAACAGGATTATATATCTAGATATATAGATAGACAGACGGACTAGAACGTAATTAGATATATAGATAGATAGATAGAGAGAGAGGGAGTGAGACATATATATATATATATATAGAGAGAGAGAGAATTAAATAGAATTAGATAGATATTCCATTTATTATATTAATCTCTTTGTTACTAAAACTGATCCCTACTTTATGTCCACCAGAAACTTATTTGAGGTCTTTCACAATCGATTCTTTAAATAAATCTCCAGGACAAGGGAGATAACTCTCAACAAAACGTTACAGCTATGACAAACATATTTGTTGGTGGGTTAAAAAATGACACTAAGATATAGTTCTTACCGTATCCTTCGAAGTAATTTACTTTGGCATATATTGAAAAATCATTACTCATAAATGGTTGCAAAATTGAATACTACGCACTGCGTTCACATTGATGGCTCCTTGCTATATATATATATATATATATATATATATATATATATATATATATATATATAAGATATTACACTGAAAATAAATAGAAAAATCGTTACACAATTGCAGTTGTTTTTTCGATGCGTATCAATGCATCTCATCAGGCGATTGAAAATTACTGGCAGATGAACGATTTATATAGATCTACAATCGCCTGATAAGATGCACTGATACGCATCGAAACACGATCGCAATTGTGTTATGATTTTAACATGTTTTTGTTTTAATAACCTAAAATATATAATATTTTGCTCTACTCTGTATTGAGCCCTCTTTACATTAAATGTTACGAACGTTGGAATTGTACTCTATCCGTTCTCATC